ACCGCAGCTTCCTCCCCCCACCTCCCCCCGCTCCTACCCCGTCCGGAGGGCGAGAGGGGCAGGGGAGAGGGCTTCCAGTTCAAAAACTGCCCCTGCTTTCACAACATCAAAGCCGAAGTGTTTGCAGCATTAAAAGTCTATACATACATATAGGATAGATACTTCCGGAAGAGTGTTCCTTTAAGATAAGGACTGTATTTTATACACAGACGTACCATAGCTTTCTAAATTTGATCAAATGATTCTATGAGAGCTAATATGTATATGTATATACACACACATACACGTTCCTTGTTAATAGATCTCCAGTTATTATAGAGTCGAAATTGATCTCTTTCAGCAGAATAATTCTTTGAATGCATTTCAGAGACTGCAAGAACAACACGTATCTATGTAATCATGCAATCATGCAAAAATACCTTCTTTCTATTGCGTGCACATATACTTAATTTTAAATGTATGTATATATAACTACATATATACGTACACGATTTTAAGCATCTTCAAACTAAAGCAGAGTTTTTAGAATGACACCCTACCTCGCACTAGCAATTTTTAAGCAGACTTGATAAGAGTTCTGCCCCAAAACGGGCATCACAATAGTGGCCGTAGTGTTTCATGAAATACTCTGATCCTTTATATTTGAAAACACTGCTGTTAAAGACAGTATGATGGGGGAAGGGGGGGAAAAAAGGTGGAGGGTAGAAAGGAGCATGTGAAAAATGGTGGACTGCTGTAATACGCAGTGCTCTGATCTCCCTGTAACTTTAAAGCCTCTGGCATATTAATTTTAGTTAATAAAAGAGACAAAAAACCTATCAAGTATATATGAATTTAGCCTATTTTTTTATTTCTGTGTGTTCATAGTAAACATTTTTGTAAGTGACAAACACGGGCATATGACCACAGTATCACAATCAAGAAATTTTAAGACGACATTAACAATCACTCAAATTTATGCGGCATTTGCGCAACACAGGTTACATATTTGCAAGGTTTACCTATAAGTACAATAGGTATTAACATTTCACTACATTTAGAAAAAAAATAAAGGTGACCTGTTAGTGACCACATACATCAAAATATACACAACACAAACTGAAGGCAATCATTAATTTTGTCCCCTTCTGATTCATTTGAACGGGCAGTGCTGCAAACTGAAATAATGTTGCTGTTTTTTAAATTACTCCGTACACTGAGTGCATTTTCTAAAACCCAATCTTTGGTCTAAAAGTAAACAAACAAACAAACAAACAAAAAAAAAAAAAAGGAACCCCAAAAAAGCAGTTGGGTAAAGAAAAGGATAAAATAAAAAATGGCCAAAATGTAGTTCTCGGCATTTTTCAATATTAATTCTGCTTAAATACAAATTACGTTTTAAGTTTTCTATAGTTTTCATAAATTTAGTGATGGTTTGTGGTTTGGATTTTTATTTTCTTTTCTTTCAAGGTCTGCACCCACCGACATATCCATGATAACTTATAATACTGCAAACATGGAGAATCTGGCGGCTTTTACTGATAGACTTATCGTATTTGAATAAAAAATTGCAAAAGCAGTCACTATTTAGATACACATTCTACTATAATTTTGTCTTTCAAACTTCATAGTCTACAATGTAATCTCCCCACATTGCACCTTGCTGACACTCCTCACCTTGGTGGAATAATAAACAACCCTAAAGACTGAACAAACGTACAGAAAATGGGGGACTTAATAAAAAATACCTGGACTTTTTTGTTTTGCTTTTTTTTCTTTTCTTCCTTTTAATTATCATTTACAATGCAAATGTGTGTAAAATGTTCACTTACAGTCTGATCCCATGGATGTTAATGTATTAAAGGGTTTGAAGAAGACCCCTGATTTTGATGTGTGAAATAATCAGAAAGTCCTCCGGAAAGTCCCGTTGTAAAACTTGGCAAAGAAGGTCTTAAGGACTCACAGGGGAGAGTGGAGGGCGCCTGTGGCGACGTGGAGGAGGAGGCTGCCCTGGCCGTCATTGAAGTGCTGCTTTGAGAAGTCATTGAAGGGTGAGGAACATGGGGGAAAAAGTAACTCGTCTGTCCTGCTAGGAGGTTTACAGAGCAGGGGTTTAGGGAATAGGTGCCGGAGCAGGGAACTGACAAGCCACACGGCACTGAGGCGGCCAGAGCTGCTGCTGTGAGGTGATGAGTGGCATAAGGTATCTCTCCATTGACTAGTCTATCAACACTTAACCCATTGGACGTGGAAAAGGAGTGGTTGTTCCCCAAGGAGTTTTGAGTCAACACTGAGCTGTAGGGCATGGGGTGACTGGGGTAGGCGGAGGTGGTCCCGTTGTAACTCAAAGTGCTGCTGGCCCGGGGGTGGTGAAGGGAGAGGAAGGGGGACATAGGCCAGTACAAGGATCCTGCCCTGTCCATGAATGTCAGTCCGGTGGAGGTGAGCCGGGCGCCCCGCTTGAAGGCCAGCTTGGCCCGCGAGGTGGTGGAGCGTCGGCGGAGCTTTCCGGTGGTGCCCCCGATGAAGACGTCGTCGCTGGAGGGGTCCAGCATCCAGTAGTTCCCTTTGCCCGGGTCGTCGTAGTGCCGGGGCACCTTGACGAAGCACTTATTGAGGGAGAGGTTGTGGCGGATGGAGTTCTGCCAGCCCTGCTTGTTCTCCCGGTAGTAGGGGAAGTTCTTCATGATGAACTCGTAGATGCCGTTGAGCGTGAGGCGCTTCTCGGGGCTCTGCCGGATGGCCATCATGATGAGCGCGTTGTAGCTGAACGGTGGCTTCTCGTACTTGCCGTTCTTCTTCTCCCCCTCCTTCCCGCTCTCCCCGTCCTTGGCCCCCTCCGCCGCCCCCTTCTTCTCC